TTTTTTTTTGAGATTCGAGAGTAAGTTTAGAGACTACTGCACCAATAATCCTAAAGGTATATCAGATACGTAGTGCTGAGTGCCACACCACAGTAAGATTATCTCTCAATAAACTTACTCTTCTGCTACGCGTGTTAGAAAAAGGCATGATTGAACGAGAGATTTTTGGGAGTAAAAGGTATCACTTTTGCGTGGCGACTTGGTCTGAAAAGGACATTTTATGTCTCAAAGTCGAAAATGGTAATGCCGTATAGGAAAAGGCTGCATGCAAAGTTGCATTGTTAGGGCATTACTGCAACTCGTTTTTATCGTTCAAATAACGAAATGTTGACGATAATAATTCAATAAGCAACAATTTTAAACATAAATTACAGTATCTATCGCTGCTGTCAACACAACCTCTACCACCCAGAAGAGACTTCGTAATACTTGCATATGGTGGCTTAAGAGGAGCTCTTGGGCTAATGTTAGCTATGGAATTGCATAGAAAAGTAAGCTCTACAGGCTTATAAAATAATGACAATAATGTATCTGTACAAATGGACTCTTGAGGTTGGCTAATGCTATCTTCCTTTTCGCGCTTTGATACCTTGGTTTTGGCTATAATATTTACTTTTTCCAAAGTGCTAATGGAAGTCATGTGAGAAGGCCTGGTGTAACAGCGACTCAAGGAACATGAGAGTATCAGAGACTTATAGGTTTTCGGTAAAAAAAGCAGTTACGCCTAGCCGTAAATGCTAGTGCCTTTGAATAATGACAGTGAGAAAGGTTCATGTGGTTTTCATGGCACGGAGATTAAGCGAACACTTGAAACTTAAGCTAGTGGCGCGCAGGTCACTCGTCGGAAGCTCTTTCGTTTTGCTATTCATGAAGTTTGCGATCTGCGCCGTATGGTTCAAGCACTGTCTCTGCAAATTTCGTCGAGTTTTATGAATAGCCGGTCAGTCACTGTTTATCTTACTTTAGATCAACAAGATATTTACGAAGAGACTTCTGCTGCTTACATGCTCTGCTACATTTATAAGTCTCGTCTTTCAAGTGAGTTGTACAGACTTGTGCCTTCAGTTCGATCATGCTTCAGAAGTTGCAATAGAGATTTGCTGTTCAAGAACAGAAATGGAAAGTTTTTCCCTCTCGCTAGCTGAGCAGCTTTGTGATAAATGCGCTAAATTTTGCGTGCATTTACTGAGTGCATGCTTATTAGGAGCAAAAAGAAACAAAAGACAAAAACTATTTGCACTTATTGTAGTTTGTAGGGAAGTTTGGAAAGTTTGTAGGGAATGACATTTTCGGCATTGGCCAGAAAAGAAGGCACCACGAAGCGCTCCAAATATGTCAAAGATACTTGTGTTCGTCTGTCGCGATTCCTGGATGTGAAAGTATAAAGATTCTACTATGCAATTCTCAAAAGCTGAAGCTGTATTATGCTTAGATCAGGGAAGCTCTTCATGTGATGAAAAGTGAGGTAACCTCTTGCCTCACTGGCACAAACTGGAAGGTTGTTGAGACTCAAGTCCGAGAATGCCTGGAAAAGAATGCTACTGCGATGGAAAATGAGATGGTAACAAATGTTTGCTATTACAAATCTGCTGAAGCTTGCATTTAGCTGCAACAACAAGAATACAGCCAGGATGAGACGTCTGATGATGAGCAAACTCGAAAAACGGAGGTTAGCACCGACGTCATTGACGCTAGAGTCGGCTTGTATGGAATCCTTTTAGCAAGAGTGAGCATGCTACTTCTTGTTTAACTTACAAATATAAATCGCAAGTGTCCGGAACAAACTGTGCCTATATCGCGGTAAAGTCTTGCAAAATTATGCTCACTGCTCAGCCTCACGAGCGCACTGAAGATATGATCGTAGTTTGCATACGCAGCGTACCGCACGCTTACACATGATACTGCGTGCGCCGCATACGTCGCTCAGTCTACGCGTGGTCTACCCCAGCTCAACCGTTTAGAAGCTTGTTTCTAGGCACTCACCGAGAACGTATTACGAATACCACTTTGTGACTAACCAAAATCACATTGGCTACACTGTCCAAAACGCTTGAACAATTTGCAAACTTTGCTGCCTTCCATATAGCGCTAAAATCACAATAATTTTGAAAATAAAGATGAGAAATACAATCGACAACTTTTGCACCTCCTTTCTAGTGTAATCTGACTACAGTGAAATTTCGACTCAGTTTAGTTGTGTTTGAAATCTTGCGATGACATGCCTGCCCCGCACTTTTGAAAAATGGTTGCCAATCCGAAAATGAGAGGCACAGAATAACATGTGGTGTACTATAATAATCGATGAGGATACGCGAATTTTTGCAAATGCTTTGCAGTCAGAGTATATTTTTTGATACAGTGCGATTCATCATTTTGCGGCTCAGGTACACGATGCGTGGGCTCGAGGTGTTATCGCCGGGAAGACTGCCAGGGTTATCACAGCAATAATGGAGCACGGAATTGATGAAGGCAAAATCACAGCTAATGACGTGGAACATCACCTGAAGATAATCGAGCTCAACTGCTTCACCAAATTCATGTACAAAATTTCTGAAATCCTCTTTGTAAGTCGTCATTTGGTAAACTCCACCATCATAATTCTTTGCACATATACTCTGCATGTTCTTCTTGACATGCACACAATTTGCACGTTCTCTTCTCTACGGTGCGCATAACATTTTCCAAAAAACATCGCAAATTTGGAAGTTAGATTTGGGGTCAGCTCATCAAGATGCATCTGATGATATGCAGATCATTCCGGTTTGTCACCTTGAATAGATCGTTTCCTTGGAGCATTTAGGAGCGGGGCTGTTTTCAGAAGCAGCGTCTCACCAAAATTTGGTTGCTTAGATTTTTACATTTTGCAAGCCTTTCCGTCGCTGTCTAACCTCAGTGCTGGTCCAAAATTGCATAAAATGCACAAAAGCTTTTTTTGAAAGCCCCGGGGAAGCCGCGCAGAGTCGTGCATTCCTATCTTAGCCTTCGCCACAGTGGCAGCAACACCATGGAGTAGACGTCAAGGAAAGAAACATGTTGAAACGCGTAAGGCG